GTTTAGCTACTCATAACAGAAAATAAAAACAGATTAGAAAGTGTTGTCATTACGGAAATTATAAGGAATCAATCTTCAATCGTGAAAAAATATTGAACATATGAATCCACAATGTAAATCTGAGCTCTCCAGCCTTCAAAACGCGTATTTGATCTCTAAAATCGGCCACCCCTTGTGAAATCGCATTTTTCCGTCTAAATACTCAGCAACTGGGCTTTGCACATTTTTGTGCCTCATTACGCGTAATACCCAAGACATACGTGTAATGGGTTGTTTTTGTGCCAATTCCCTACGCGTAAAGAGCGTAATGATCCCTTCCTAGCCATCCCTTACGCGTAATGCACCACATCAAACTCGTAAGGGCAAAACCTTTGTTTCTTCGCTCTTCTGTTGGATTGCATGGGCTACGTGTACTACTGAGGGCCATACGCGTAACAACTAAGGTATTACACGTATGGGTTGCACTCTGTTCAATTATTGCCTTTTCTTGCTTTGGCTCGGTCTTGCATCCAATACTCGACCCTCTGAGTTCCCAAACCTGCATTTAACCTGCTGACATACCAAAAGCGTAAAATATCCTCAAGAAACTCATAATTCATGACACACTGAATTTAATTGAAACAGACTAAACTATTAACATAACACACTCTAATTCATATAGTTTATCTGACTTATTGATGATAAAATAACGAAAAACATAGCTCAAATGGTGACTGATCACATACCCATCATACACAATACTCTTAGAAAGTTGGAACCTCATCCTTACCTTGAATTGACGGTCTATAAGCCTCAAAAATGGATTCTCTTTCCCTAGCCTCTTGATGCATTATTCTCATTTTCTCCTCTTTCTCGTTCTATAATCTGACTTTTTACAGAATCCTTCCCTTTTTCTTGTTTTACTACTTTACCCTTATACCCCTAATATATTATTTCACTTATGCTCTTCTACATAATAATAACTAAAAATAATTATTTTAATTACTATTATCACCATATTATTCTAATATTCTAATTTAAATAATAATAGTAGTAATAATCTCCTTCCACTCCTAAGTGTCTGCACTATTAGTCATACACCACTAATACCTTAACGTCGATAATTTCTAAGATAACTACCTCACAACAAGCCATCATATCATAACAAAATACTCATCAACGCATATAAATACACAATATCAAATAATTAATTTATTAAAATAATTCAATAAATAATAGGGGTGTTACAGACGTACCCATAGCGAGGTCGATTAGGGAACTGCCTAAACAAATCCTTGTGTCTCTCTCTCTTTCTCTCTTACTCTCTATTTTACGTTTAATAGCAAATTATGAAAACTTTGATTGTGCAATCGATACATTGAGATAAACTTGTTGTTTAATATTATAATTTGTTTTGTTGAGTTAATTACAATCTTTATGGTTGTAATTAGATTTATATATCAACAAAACTATAGAAAAATTTGCTTTGTGTCGATTGCAAGTCAAGTGTTTGACAAATTGATTCAACTAATTTTTGTTTGATATTTCATTGGAAATTGATTGCTATAGTATAGTTTATTCAAACTTGATTTGCTGGAAATATATTGGTTGTTTTTCTAATCATATGTAAATTCGTTCTATCGTATAATGTATATCCAGTCTTTTCGATGACGGTTCAGATATATGATTGTTGATCCGGGTTTATTTCCACGCGCCATAGTTTAAATTTTTTAAAACAAAATTTTTAATTAGAAAATTTCATTTCCGATCTATTCAACCTTGCTTCTAGATTGTAGCCTATCGGCTAACAGAATCCATCCAAAGAACCGATCTTGCAATGGAGTCAATGATGGAGTGTTGAAGCCATACAAGAATCATGGTGTTGCACCTTATCCATGGAGCATACAAAGGATCAGCGGCGTTGGATTTAAGTAGAGTACCATCAATGAATTTTTCCTTGTTCTTGGAGATCAAAGTAATGTGGATGTATCTAGCCCAAGAATAATAATTCTTGTCATCTAAGGGTGGTGAAACAAGAATGAGGGTTGGGTTTTCATTGTGGTGGAGGTAATAGGGGTTTGAAGAGTTTGTTGAGAAATCTCCAAAGTTGACAAGAGTCATTGAAGGAGAAGAGGAAGAAGAAGAGAAAAGAAATTGTCAGAGTAGAAGGAGAAGAAGGAGAAGAAGGAGAGAAGCGAAAATTGCTCGTGATACCATGTTAATATGGTAACTTGCAAGCTAAGGTACTCATTCTCATTAATGAAAGCAAGGTAAAGCTTGCATGATGAATACAATATAAAGGCTCTTTATATAGAGTACAAGTAGAGAAGTTGGTTAATAACAAACTTAACTAACAAGTAACCAACATTCTAACAAACTTATTGAATACAAAGCAAGAGGAAAAACAGAAAACTTGCATAGCAAGTAAGTGAATAATCTAACAATCCGACAAACTTTTGAATGGCGTAACTTATTTTGTCATCGGCTTTTTAGTGACATAGATTTCCTCTCTATATAATTCTTGTCATTATGTTTGTTATATATTTTAGGGTTAAATGCATTTTATTCCCCTGTAATAGTAGCGAGTTTTGATTTACCCTCCTTTTAAAAAAATAATCTTTTAGCCCCTCAAAAAAACGAGATTTCCCTTGGATCAAGATTCCAGTAGAATCTGCATATGTGGCGCTTGACGTGGATTTTTAATTTTTTTTTTTAAATTCCAAGTGGAAATTCAATTATTTTTTTTTAATTTTATTTATATTTTTTTTTTATTTTTTATTTAAAATTCTTTTTTATTTTTTTCTCCCACTAGGACAGGCTTATTGTTTTGTTTTATTTATCCCATATTAGTTTGATACATTAATTTTGTGTGGTATTTAATTTTTTCGGTAGGTATTTAAATTTGTTTTTTTGGACGGTCGAAAATACGAATCTAATAATATACACGATCGAAAATATAGTATACACGGGAGTAGAAAATACGAATCTAATAAATTAGTAGTTAAAATACATTTTATTTTGTTAAGGTTTTTTTTCTTCTGAAAACAAGTAATATATAAAGCGAGTATTAGAGATACTCAACTCCACTTATAACAGCAAGATTCTAAACTAAATGCACCATATTTAAAACATGCAATTGAGTCCTTATATAAGCTATTATATTTATCTAACTCCAATAACTAATAATTCAGAATACCTATGAGAACCTAATAATAATGCTCAAGTAATAATAATTTAGACTAAATATTTTAGAGACTAATTAATTTTACACTATCACCTAATTAGAATTAAATTCTTTTAATAATTATTTCTTTCATATTTTTCTCTTTTTATGTTAAAATAATTAATTTTAATTGGATAATAGTATAAAATAGTTCTAAATTGACAATGTATTTTAATTAATCTTAATATTTTATTATATAATGTGTGCATCACAAATATTTTTTACGGACAAAGTAATTCATGATTTTCACCGGATTGTTTTTTATATTGACATTAATTTTGTTTTTTTTCTAGTGTTCATTATGTCAAGCGTTTGTTTAAAATTGTATTATCGATGATTCAACTTGATCACGTTGTATTTTATCCAACCATCAGTACCTATGAAATATTCTCAAAACTCGATCTTTGTCACCCTCCTGTTGTCTGAATCAAGGAGTAAATCATTCAACGTTTGTCGGCAAAATATCGACTGTCCAAAAAAACAAAATTAAATACCTACAAAAAAAATTAAGTACCACACAAAGTTAATGTATCAAATAAATATGGGATAAATAAAACAAAACAATAAACTTGTCCAAGTGGGAGAAAATAAAAATTAAAATAAAATTAAAATTAAAAATTAAAAAATAAAAAATAAAATAAATAAATAAAAATAAAATAAATTTAAAAAAAAAAATAAAAATATAAAAAAAAATTATCGAATTTCCACGTAGAACTTACAAAAAATTAAAAAAGTCACGTCAAACGCCACGTATACCGATTCTGCTGGAATCTTGACCTAAATTCAAATTTGAGGGAATCTTATTTTGTTGAGGGGCTAAAAATATATTTTTTTAAATAGAGATAAATAAAAACTCGCTATTATTACAGGAGATAAAATATATTTAACCTTATATTTTATCAATTATCTTTCAAAAACTATCTATTTTTTATCAATCCCAACAACGGGATCTCTGAAATGTTATGTTATGGTTGAGTGATTACTTCGTCTTCCTTTGATTGAAATCTTATTTTTAACATATTGACAACCGGTGCGGATACTACTTATTTACTAAGATTAATAGTTTACAAGCTCTCTTGAGTGTAAAATTGTAGTATTTCAAACACAGTGGATTAAGATATTGAGATGGAAATTTTTTATATCTATATGAATAAGTTGGTACATGATATGGGTAATTTCTAAAGCGGGTAAATTTGTGGACTTAGAATAAAAAGAGAGTTTAAATTTTGGCTTATGATGTGGAATTAAAATCAATATTACGATGTCATGATAATTACTAGATGTCATGATTTTTTTAGAGACCGTGTCATTTAATTCAATCAATTTAATAACTATATAATTTTTTTATAAAGACTGATTTATCTATTTTAATCTGATTTAGTCATGCAGATCGACCGATAAACTAATGATCCAATACTAAATTTGATTATCAGTTGAATTTTTACAACATGAGATAAAAGGTACATTTTAGATTATGATGCAGAATTGGGATAAAAGGTGCATTTTCAAATTTCATTTTTCATAATTGATTTTAGATTTTCGTGTTTGAATATATTTCTATTATTAAAGTTGCTAAAGGAGTTATTATTACAACCTGAACAAGCACACCAAGTTGTTATCAATTATTCTATACCTCAAATGCATTTTGAGGCAAACACATGTATCAAAAAAAAAATTCTATTAAACAAGAAATAAAAATAAAAAACTATTAAAAAGCCCTGAAACCTTGGAGAACCATACACACCTAACCCTTTAATAACCAACCAATCTAACATTTTTCCCAAAACAACTCCAAACCATGTCTTTTAGACCTCATTACAACATTCTCATTCTACATAAATACCCTGCAACCAAACACAACATCACCAAAACAACACAGGTTTCTTTCTCTATACCAAATTCAAACACATTTCATTACATCATGGACATGAAGAAGGTTACCTGCGCCGTTCTTGTTGTCGCTGCCTCCATGAGTGCAGCATTGGCTTCCACTGTTGAGGTTCCAACATCTGCACCTGCCCCTGGCCCTGCCAGTGGCGCATCAACAACTGTTGTTGGTTCCTTGATCGGTGCCTCGTTGTTGTCTTTCATTGCCTTGTTCCATTAAAGCTCAGAAAATATGTGGAGGACAGTATCATGAGAGAAGTTTATACAATATATGTAATTTATATGGAATAAAGAGTGATTTACCATAACTATGTGTATTGATATGTTTCACTCTATTTGTAACTATTGAAAACGTAAAATAAATTTGTTCTCATAGTTATGTTGAAGTACATGGTCTTTCTAGACTAAGGAGGGAACACGAGAATATTAATTATAATACAATCAAATCCATATAACTTAACAGAAAACACCAATGGACATATCAACCTTTCTCAAATATAATTCAAACCATTTACAATAAAACAATCACCAAGAAAAAAATTGAAGGATGATATTTTCCAAGCCCGCAATCTTCAATCAAGCAAGAGTCTAAAAGGAACAAACTCGTGTAACTTTTCGACGATTCATAAGGAGAAACCCTCACCAAACTAGGTTTCTGGATTAAATTTTTGCGATGACATGAGGCTTTTTGTCAGCCATATAGCTGTTTCTCTGGATGAAACTGTGTCTTCTCCAAATGGTCTTAGCACCGCAGCAAGCTCTTCGAGCTTTCCTTGCTTAAGTAAATGAGCACATAACTCAAGTAGAGATTCCAAAGCATCGGCTCTTTGTTGGCCGGAATTTTTCAACACCCTCTTTGTTTTATCACCGACTACTGGATTGTTTGCATTAAAGGAAATTTCATTTTGGATTTTATCAATCACAGAGCCATTTTTATCGCCTTTATGTGTGGAATGACTGATTATGTGTGTGTTTTCTCTGCCTTCATGCTTAGTTAAAAGTGTGCCATTGCTCTGAGAATTCAGAATGTTCATGCGTGAGTCTTCTGTGAATGATTGTGATTTTTCGCTTTCCTTCAAGCAGCTTATAGTATCAGGATCTTGTTCAACCCTGACAGAATGCACATTTGTTGATGCCATCTTCTCATTGATACAACTGATTTTATCATTGTCACTGCATTCTTCAAATTTATCAAAACCTTCATTGGAAAAAGTACCATCAACTTTAGCAGTCACTGCATTTATGTCATTAGTATCTGGCTTCTCAAATTGTTCAACAGAAAGCTGTGGCTCTTCATGCACAGAGTCGAGGGTGCTCATTGATGTGACGTCATCAGTAGACCCCTCTTTGTCATTGACATTGTTGTAAGTGGTTGATTTACTTGACTCCTCAGGTTTGGCATCTTCTCTTTGTGTTTGAGCTGTATCAAACTCTTTACCGGAAAGAGTATCATCAACTTTGGAAGTCACTGGATTTATAGCATTTGTATCTGGCTTCTGAAAATGTTCAACAGAAAGCCTTGGCTCCTCATCCACAAAATCGAGTGTGCTAGTTGATGTGACCTCATGAGTAGACCCCTCTTTGTCATTGCCATTGTTGTAAATGATTGATTTACTTGAGTCCTCATATTTGGCATCTTCTCTTTGTGGTTCAGCTTTATCAAACTCTTTAATGGAAAGAGTATCATCAACATTTGAAGTCACTGGATTTATGTCATTTGTATCTGGCTTCTGAAAGTGTCCAACAGAAAGTCGTCGCTCTTCATGCACAGAACCGAGTGTGCTCGTTGATGTGACTTCATCACAAGACCTCTCTTTGTCATTGTCTTTGTTGCAAATGATTGATTTACTTGAATCCGCAGGTTTGGCATCTTCTCTTCGTGGTTCAGCTTTATCAAACTCTTCACTGGAAAGAGTATCATCAGCTTTTGAAGTCACCGGATTTATGTCATTTGCATCTGGCTTCTGAAAGTGTTCAACAGAAAGTCGCCGCTCTTCATGCATAGAATCAAGTGTGCTCGTTGATGTCACCTCATCAGTAGACCCCTCATTGTCATTGTTGTAAGTGATTGATGTACTTGAGTCCTCGGGTTTGGTGTCTTCTCTTGGTGGTTCACCTATATCAGATTCTTTATTGGAAAGAGTATCATCAACTTCTGAAATCACTGGATTTATGTCAATTATATGTAACTTCTGAAAATGTTCAGCGGCCAATTCTTGTTGTTCGTGTAAAGAATCCAATGTTCTCTTTAAATTGATATCATCCGTGGACCGTTCTTTATCATCCCCATTGCTGTCTTTGCTACAAATGATTGATTTCCTTGAGTCCTCCTCGGCTAGGGCATCTTCTCTCTGTGCTTCATCTTTATCAAAACATTGGCTGGAAAGTGTGCCATCAGTCTTTGTAGTCACCGATGTATTCGATTTTGGAAAATTCTCAGCAACAACTTCTTGTTCTTCATTCATCGAATCCAGTGTGTTTTTCGAAGTGATATCATCAATAGGCTGTTCTTTATCATTTTGATTGCAGTCTTTGCTGTAAATGATTGATTTACTAGATTCCTCGGGTTTGGCGTCTTCTGTAAGTGCTTCGGAAAAAGTATTAAAGCCACCGTCGGAAAGAGTATCAAAATAACCTTCAGAAAAACTACCTTCAACTTCTGTTGTTACTGCATTTATGTCAAATGCATCAGGATTCTGAAAATGTTCGGTGATAAATTGTTCTACAAGCAAAAACTCTAGTGTACTTTCCGAAGTGACCTCATCAATACACCCATCTATATCATTCCGAGTTCTATATTCACTGGACATTATCGATTTGATGAAGTCCTCAGGTTTTGCTTTTTCTTTCTGTACTTCTGCCTCATCAAAACCTTTACTGGAAAATTTGTATTTATCTGGAGTACACCGTGATGTGACTGCATCTTCGTCATTTTCATTGCTGTCTTCGCAGGAGATTATTGTTTTACTAGAGTCCCCAGGTTTTGCAGATTCCTTATGCACTTCATCTTTATCGGACACTTTATTAGAAAAACTATATTCAACTTTTTTAGTCACTGCATAGGACTTCGAAAGTTGATCAGTGGCAAATACTTGTTTTTCATGCATAGAATCTAGTGTACTCTTTGAAGTGACCTCTGTATCAGCCATGTCTCTTACAGCTCTACTTTTGAAATCTGCTTCCTTGCACACGCTGCAAACGGTCGATTCAGATGTTGTTGACTCGTCCTTTGAACCACTAATACTAGTAGAAAATTCCAACGTGTAGCTGGTAGGGTCAACCATTTTAGTCTCAAGGTTGTCTTCTGTGCTCGATGACACTGCTAATTTGCGGTTTCTTGTCTGTACATCTCCATCTCCCTCAATCGGATAAACTCTCTCCAAACGGTTTGCAGACCCTTCATCTTTGTCCCTATTGTCCTTGCCACCACTAGATTTGTAAGATTTTTTCGGTGAGTTACAACTTATGAGATGCACCGGAAGAAAAACAGATGGCGTGTTACGAGAGCGGAGAACAAAAGGTTGTAAATGAGGATGTCTCAACAAATCAGCCGCCTGTCAACGAAGAGAAAGAAGCATAAGAATGAAACAGTTTCATCAAAATGAATCATACATGAAAGGCTCGCTTGAACTCACTGTTGGTCTGTGTTCAGGGTTTTTCCTCAGCATGCTCTTGATAATCTGTTTCCTGTTGCATTTTATACCATTTAAATGAAATATAAAAAATGAAATATAAAACGGATAAATCGGGATTCACCGTAAGATATATTCTCACGCGAAGAAGTGACTTACAGTGTGGAAGAGTAAACAATTGGCAATGGAGAAATAGTGGATCTATTTATTTTATTGATAAGTCCAGCCCTGTCCTGTTTAAACAAATTATTTCACTTTATAACAACGGAAAATGAAAGACTTCATTGTAGAGGGTCAATTTTGTTTGTTCATACCGGAGCACGAAATGCTGGTTGATGTGCGACAATTTCAAACATGCAGCAACCTTACAAATAAAACGATGTCATCTTACACAAGTACATAAATCATATGGCTATGTCAATAAGGGTAAGGAGTATGTAGGCTCTTACCAAGCGACCATATGTCAGATTTATAACCGTACGGCATATCGGCAAAGATCTCAGGACACATGTAATTTAGAGTTCCAACAACCTACAGAAGAAATACGAGGGGCACGAGAATTAAACAGACTTCATTTATGTTTTTTTAGATTAAAATCTTCAATTACTTGACATGACAATCCACAACTGAACAATTACAAATATGTTTCTTGAATAAGGTGATAAACGCAAGGATATTAACGATGTAAACAATACCGAAGAAGCAAGATCGTCTGTGTCAAGTAGCTTTGCAAGACCAAAGTCACCTGCAGGATCCATATGCAATACATATATTGCTTTAGATAACAAAATGTGTGGAAACCAAAAGTAACGATCATTCAAAGAATAATAATGCCTTCATACCTAGACGAATGTTGTTTTCTTTGGTGAGGAATATGTTGGAACACTGAAATTAAATGAACTTGTCTTAATGTAAACATCAGTTATGGATTTATTTGCTCGGATAAGGAAATAGGTAATACTTGATACCTTAAGATCTCTATGGAGCACACGGTTAGAGTGCAGGTAGTCCACAGCTAGCAACAACTGAGTCATCCATTTGCAGACTTTCTACAGAAAAAAATAGCATGCAGGTTGAGTTAACAATACTTGTATAAGAAAAACATTAGAAAGACCTGTTTGAAATTGCTTATTTCAGCTTATCTACTAACATAAGCCCTTGTTAGAATGTTTGGAAGAGCTTTACTTAACACCGCCCCTCCTTTTTTCCATTCACCTCATAGAGTAAGAAGAAATGATACATTAAATAATTACCTCCTCCGGAAAAAAAGATCCTCGAGATTTCTTTATATTCTCAGCCCTGTCCCACAAAAGTCATTGATGTGAACACATTTATACGTCACAGTTTTTATAAAACTCATTAGGTCTAATAACTTAAACTTTAAGGTCAGTAATTCATGTAACCGACCATAAAAGTCATTGATATATTTATCGCCCCATGTCTAATAATATGTAAACTTTACAATAAAATTTGCATTCATATTGTAAAACGCGGTATGATGTTCAGTGTGATTTCGGTACATGATAGAGGTTTATAGTTTATCAACATTTTAAGTCTGTTTTAGAGTCATAAAAAACCATTCTTCGAA